ACAACATGCCACTCTATGTGCACAACCAGAGCAACCACCCACCTGCAATAATACGCAATATACCAGAGGAGACAATAAATAAATGACTCTAATATGTCATCAACTGAAGATGTTTTAAGCCATACCACCATACTAAGAAGCACTCAGAGTGGATATGACCACAAGCTCAAAATTGAACCAACCGGCAAAAGAAAAAAAAAAGTCGAAATCGACAACGTAAAACCATCTGGTTCAACCTACCGTATAGCAACAATGTTTCAACCAACATAGGCCATAAATTCCTATCTATTATCCAAACCACCCACGCATAGTACACTAGCAGAAAATTATTATACAAAGGTTAGATTTAATGCTTGAAAAAATTTCCTGAGAGGAAATTTTTGAATGCATTAAATCTAACCTTAGTATAATTTTCTTCTAGTGTACGATGCATGCTCTACGAATTGCTTTATAAGTCAATCGCCGTCTTTTAATGTTAGTATTAATAATCAACTATTGTAGCAGTCATTGGTTGCTATGGTGATAATGATCAGTATACTGTGTGCGTATTTACATTTAGCTGTGCGTATGCTGATTTGTGCTCCTGCAGTACGTGTTACATCAGCATTAGTGTCAGTACGATACGATGAATTACTAAATTGTAATCTGTATTGTGTTAGAAGAACTTGTTTATATAGTAATTGTTATTGTCGTGATAGAATAATAGACAATAACTGGATTTGCGTCAGGAGAAACATGTATAGGTGTAATTTTGCCCTACCTGACGTGGAAATGTACTGAATACTCAGTACATTTGAAAACTGCGAAAAAATCGCAAGTTGTTCTCGGGTGGGATTCGAACCCACGATCTCCAAATCACTAGCCTGGCATCATACCTCTAGACCACCGAGCTTGCGCCTGATGGCCAGGGTTGATGGCAAGGTTCTGCCGCATATATATGTTCCAGTTCATTTTAGTAAAATGCATGCATTGCAGCACATTTGCTGAATTGTGTATGAATTAATAAATGTTAAAACTACTGTATATATAAAAAAAGACAGCATTAAAAATTGATAACTAAAAAAATACAGAATATGACATCAAAAATTGAAAAAAGAAAGGCAAACTTCGTCACATTAAAATGTGAGACTAGGCCTAGCCAAGGCAAGACTTTTTTTTTGTTTTTTTGTTTTTTTTTTGTTTTTGGCAAAACAATTTGCTAAGTAACAAAACAAAATTTTAAAAAAATGTTTATCTGCCTTCCCCTGGTGATCTTTAAAAAAATAAGTACGCAAAACGAGGAATAAAGAAAGTCTTGCCCAAGGCTAGGCCCAGTATGGTACGTATACTTCCATCATCATAAAAGTCTTTATCTATAATCTATTTGTCATTTTGTTAATCAATTAATTCAATTTAATATCATTTCTTGTAGCTTAATGTCACTTTGGCTAGCTAGAAGGCCGTGAGGTTAGCCTAATAGTGAGCCTGGCAGCAGGCACGGTGACGGTGAGCCTGGGCATAGGCTGTGCCGGATGAAACTATAAGACATATTAAAGTATTTAAGTAGTGAGTCGTTTTTGGCAATTTTTATTATTTTTTCTATTGTAGGTATCTTTTATCATTGCAAATTCCAATCACTTAAAACATCACAAAATTACTGTATATCTCCCAAAAAATACATTATGTTGAATCATAATCTAATAATAAATAATATCAGTTAATAAATTTAAATGTCACATTTTATGATAATTGCTGAATGAAAGCTTGTGCATACTGTGCACACAGTTTGAAACGACTTGGAAGGAACACTTTAAAATGTACAAAATAAAAGTAACAAACTGTGCACAACATCTACATTTTGGTCTGGCAGAGATACTTTCGGTGCACTCTACTGGTAGGCAAAAGATTTGCCAAATATAAGAAAATGCTAAGTCGAGAAAGTGAAAGAGTGTGTTGACATCACCTGTGCCGGTATGAAGGGCCTTGAATATTATATCAACGATTTCATAAACCATATTGTAAAATAGACCAAAAGATGGAGACCTAAGACGGGTGTTTGTCATAATTTTTTTTTTAAATTGAGATAAATTATTCAAATTTTAACTCTGAATGAGTGCCATTTCTGGGCATTATAGGTGCCTTAATCATAATTTGCTTTGCGACTCCCAGTATAAAATAGACTATAGGTCCATAATTAGTCATTTGTGACGCTTGCGAGGGAAGTGGTGTCTAAGGGAGGGGGGGGGGCACAGATATCTCCCATTGGGAAAATCAAAAATTTTGTTGAGAAGACTGCTTTGAAAAAGCTTCTATGAGTGCAATTTCCGAGCATCTTGACTGGCATATTCTTAAAATTTGCTCTAAATTCAGATCTCCCGTCAGGGAAAAGTCAATAATTTTCTCAAGGAGACTGCTTTGAAAAAGCATTTTTACCATCTGAGAGTGCCATTTCTGAATGTCTAGTGAAGCATATTCTTAAAATTTGTTCACCTCAGCCCCACCGTGGTTTATGGTTAGGTGTGTTCGACCTATTTCCATCATCCCGTCAGATAATTTCTGGATCCTCCTCTGCCATGATAATGATAAATTAAGTAAATCTCCTTTCATGTTTGTGAAATAAAAATGCTAACTAATGTTGAGTGTGCTGCTGTAAGTCCTGTTTGATCGTAAGTTAGACGGTAGTATTAAACTAGCCCATGCCACCTTGGACAGATGCCCATGGGCATCATTTCGATGCTGCTTTTGCAAAGACTTCCTTATCTTGCAATTCGTCCCATGCTATCTTGGAGAGAAATCTTTTTAATCTATTTCTTATTATTTCATTTTCTGTGCAAGTCACATTAAATTGCCTGCGGGCCAACCACCTATTAAAATGCCAAGGCCCTAGAGGCATACTGTAGGGTAGACTTAGTAATGTCTAGCTAGGCTACTTTATGATGGGTAACAAGTCAGTAGGAATGAAGTTCTTTTCTTGAGCGATTTACATTTAAAATGGATGCCAGTTCAAGCGAAAAAATGAATGTTTTTTTGCGGAAGGCTATCGAAACTGACTTTTTCTATCAGCATTGCCGCAGTATGAGAAATGTCGCTCTTTTCTAATAGCACCATTGCAGTATGAAATACCTGCTCTATTTTATGGCAGTGGTCATGTTTACTAAAGCAGAAGACTGCAGATCATTGCCAACGACAGCGATGGTGGGCAGTCGGCTTGACAAACTGTTCTAGCCTATTGGGTTTATATTTGGCAAGGTGGGTTTCAGCAAACTGGATTTCACTATTTTAGAGTCAGCAGATTGTCGTTTGTTAAAATTGGTTTCAGAAAAATCTCGTTCCCCATGATGCATTTTGGCAAACTGCTCACTCCTCTATGGAAATGATTCACAACTGGGAGATTAATATGAAAAGTAGACAATCTTTATTAGTAACTACTTTGCAAGTATCGTTAATATAATAAAGCCTGCTTTTCTTTTTTTCAGGGGTTTTTCAACTTTGAAATTCGGACATTGACAGGAAATTATTCAATCTAATAAATGTTTAGCACATGCTGAACTAATGTTTTACCCTTTCAGAAAAATTGAGGTTATTAATAATTACCTCCGCCAAGGAAGTTGGCAGGAGGTTACTTATTGTCTGTCGGCATATTTGTTGAGAACACAGCCTACAGCCCATAGTTTTTATTAGAAATACATCAAACTTGCAGAACTGCCAACCCTTGGGTCATGAAAATCTGGAGATTTTTTTAGAATCTTAAAAAAATCTGGAGATTTACCAAAAAATTGGGAGGTTTCCATAATTAACCAAAAGATGATGCAAGATACCAAAAATTTCACGTCACTACTAATCATTGGCCGTTATGGCGACATTCGAATTGAAAATGGCTGCTTGTTTATGCACCGCGAAGCGAGCAGGCGGCGAATACAGTGAATAATAACGATCAAATCAATCAAATTATGCATAAATCGGAGTATTTTTGGGGAGGTGGGGTGGCCTGTGAAATCGGGTGAAAATTACATTCGATCGGGAGAACTGGAGATTTGTTTAAATATCGGGTGACACCCGACAGGATGGGGTGAGTTGGCAGGTCTGAACTTGGCCACAATGTTCCTTTACCTAAGATCTAGAGCTGATTAAATTTTGAAGGGTCAGGGTGAAAGGTCAAGGTCACAATCAAAGAAAACTATTGTTTTTATTTATTTGTCTACAGCCGATAGTTTTATTCACAAACTTGTCAAACTTAGTCACGATGTTCCTTGACCAAAATCTCAAAATATTTGGATGTTGAATGGTAAGTGTTAAATGCCAAGGTTACAATCAAAAAAATTATTTTTTGAAACTGTTTTTATCAGAAATTTGTCCAACTTGGCCACAATGTTCCTTTACCAAAGATCTGGAAGTGACTAAATTTTAAAGGGTCAGGGTCAAGGACACAATGATCAACAAACTTGTATAACTGTTTGCCTTATAGACGTGTGTGTGTGTGCGTTTTTACAGGCTTGCCGGTAAAGTGGTTAGAAGAATGTTTTCACATTAACAGCCCTGGGTTCAAATTGCAAGGAGAATTATGATGTGGTCGGTGGTATGCACTCTCTGCGTGCCCTCTAGTTATGTTATGTTTTTAATTAATTGCGCATGTCTGACCAGCTGCACTTAAAATTCACATTCTTTCAGTCTAATGCAAAACACATGCAATCATGATTTTCTAACTTATAGATCCATATCCAAATGGTTTTGCCATAGTATAAAGGACAACCACTACAAGCTCAAAAAAAGCATATCCCTTTTACTGAGGTTGTGGTAGGGTGTTATCACCTTTTTGACTTACTTTCCAGTCTGTTTGACATGACACTAGCCTTTGATTGAGCGCAGTTCATCTATTGTCTTTTAGTTTAAGCTAGAGTGATTCAGTTTTTCTTGGGACCTAACAAAAGAGTATATTGATGAAACTGTAGTAAACATGGCAGTTTCAGTAATACATTTCTATATTGAATCAATAGCGCATCTTAATTTTATTGACATTTCAGTAAGTCATGAAGTGCCTGAGCATCCAGTGGTATCGCCCGTTTCTAACAATATTTTTGAACGACGTCTAATTGAAAAATTCATAGCTGAAAATGGAGTTGACCCTATTACTGGAGAAGTTCTCTCTGAAGATATGCTGGTTGATGTTAAAGGTACAAATATTGTTATCATTAAGATTAACCTCTGAAAGATACTGTCCAAAAGATGCAAAATTTCTTTTACATTTCTAGAAGGTCAAATTATATTAATTTGGTTTGCATTTGCAGTGTCTCATACTGTAATTTAATATGGAGGAAATATATTTCCTCCATGAATTATACAACTTTAATTTATATTCTTTAATCTGAAGTTTACAACAATTTCTTCATATTCACAGATGATTTAAATATAAGTACCAAATAATACGTTCATTGGTGGATTCAAGGAGTGGGGAGAGCTTATTCAAATTGTGTGTCTGAGATCAAGAGGTGCCATAATATTAAATTGTCTTGCCTCAGCCCCAACCATGGTGGAGCTGAGTGGTATACACCTTCCATCTGTGGAAATCCCTCCCAGGACCTCTATTTATGTTTTAAAGTTTCTGTAGCTATATATTTTTGTAATAATTTGTTATTATTCCTAATATAATCACCATTTACATTTAGATAGTCTAGATTGTACAACAAATTAAACTCTACTGTATATTTCACCAAATTGAAAAAAAAATCTGATTTTGTGTTGTTGATCCACAGTGAGCCCTGTAGTAAAGCCACGCCCACCAACAGCCACCAGTATCCCTGCAATCCTCAAGCTACTTCAGGATGAGTGGGACGCCTGCATGCTGCATAGCTTCACCCTCCGTCAACAGTTGCAAACAGCCCGTCAAGAACTCTCCCACGCCCTCTATCAGCATGATGCTGCATGTCGTGTTATTGCTAGGCTGACTAAGGAGGTTACAGCAGCCCGTGAAGGTATACCAATTCTTCCTAATATGTCCCGTACTCTGAGTATTGGATACCATGATTTTCCACAAGATAATGTTATTCTGCTTAGGTTTATCAACATTAAGATTTTTGATAATTAATAATTTTTACTGGCAGGCATCTTAAATTAATGTCCTACTTGGCTTACATGATGCTATAATATGTGTATAAAAAAGTTGTAATATGATTTTTTTAAATTTTATTTATTTTTTTATCTCTTTATTTAATTATGAAATTCTTTCTTACAAATCAAAACCGTATCTGTTTATAAAGTTAAATAGCTTAATGGCTGTCACCAGCCTATTGTTGTTATTATAGTTGGCCCCCTTTAATTCAGCTAATGCTATTATAACTTCTTAAATGTCAGAGAAAAACTAAATATATGTTGTACAACTGAGTCTTCCAAGGCGCTGAATGGGTAATTGAGGAATAAATGGGAAAAATAATAAATTATAGATTTTGAATATAAAAATTGTAGGAATAATGTGGTTATGCCCTAAATTGTTGGAACATTCGGAGTTTCGCTAATTTTTCTTTGTTTAGGTTTTTTTGTATTTCTTTTGTTTAAACGAAGATAACATAAATATTTTCATTTTTCTATTGAAACTGTCAATCATCATGCATCTTATTACATTATTATTTTTTGGACCAAAGAAAAGCATACAGCAAAATTGAAATTTATTATGATAATAATGAACAGTACCTAAAATCAATTCTTGAGAGTGTTGTATTTTCTATAATACTTTATAAAACTAAAACTTTATTAAGTCAATTGTGACGTCATCATTGCAACTCCCAATGTTATTTACATATTCCCCACCATCCAATAATTTTTCAGTTAGTGGATGTTAGTTGGAGGCTAGTGTGCAAAAAAAAATTCCTCATTTTTTCGTCACCGCGAAGACAACATGCACTGCAATGAAAATTGAATTGTAATTGAAAATTACTTTCGTAAGACAAGCTTAATCAGAACCCGAAGAAAGTTACTTCAAATTCAATATTAACTATGAACTATGCTAAATGTAAATACGCACACGTATACTGATCATATCACTATAGCAACCGATGACTGCTACAACAGCTGGTTATCAAAAACTAAAATTAAAAGACGACGATTGACTTATAAAGCAATTAGTAGAGCTCCGCATAGTACACTATAGGAAAGTTATTATACTTAGGTTAGATTTAATGCATTCAAAAATTTCCTTCAGGCCTTGCAGGCCCTCAGGAAATTTTTTCAATTATTAAATCTAACAGTATATTAAATTAAATCATATAATAATTTTCCTATAGTGTACTATGCGGAGCTCTACTAATTGCTTATTGGTTTCCACTTTCTAAAGTCACACAAACTATGCTTGATTGTGACTCTATAAAGTAAGCATATAAGGTCTATAATAGTTCAACTGTCTGTAACAATAATATTATACTAGATACTATAATCATAATCTTTCAGTGCAGGTAATGTTGATTTTTAGTTTTATAATACATTTTTATAATGTCTCTACGGACCTTAAAAGAAACACAATCAGTAGCACACCTGTGTACCAAAGAATAAATTGCACCCTAAGCTTATTACTAATGATTATTGCCAATAACTTATTTTAGGCATGTTAGTCTAGTTACGGCAACATTAAGTATTAACAGAACAGCCCTTTAAACCTAAATTTAATGCACTATTGCAAAAGGAAAGTGGCTGAGCTGAAGTGCTTACACCCATGCTGGTTTGAGACCCTCTTAACTCATTTTTCAAATGGTAGAACAATGCCTGCTGGATGGAATAAGGACTATAATAATCGTAGGCCAAGTCTCCACAAACTAAATGTACCTTTCCGGAGTGTCAATCAAACCTAACTGACCAATCAAAACAACGCTAAGAATACACGCTTCACCCACAAACACACATATGTCCCACAAACATACATGTTTACATGCGTTCATTATCTTAGCAAAAATTTCCATTTGTCTTCAAAATTCATGTACAATTTATCTCATTTCACTTACAGCACTTGCTACTCTGAAGCCCCAGGCTGCTCCAGGCATTGCCCCTATTGGCAGCATGGTCCCACCCAGTCAGCTGGCTGAGCCAATGGAAGCAGAGGAGGCAGGCATGATTGGCATGTCTGAAGAAGTCATCCAAAAGGTACTTTTTATGATGAATATTTTAAAATTCTATTACCAACAAATTGTAATAGAAATAAAAACAGATTTAAATTGAAAGAATTTCAAAACATATATATTGTTTTTAATTAATATGTAACATATTTGAAATTGTATTTATTGAATTTTGTATTGTGAATGTTATACTAGGCCTTCGGGAGAGCAGTATTTACTTTCTGATCCAGTTTTTATGATAACTAATGAAATATATGAATAAACTTCATGGTCTTACAGTATAGCATATTTGGATGAAAGATTTATTATTCTACTTTAAAATTGATTAAATGTTATAGTATGGTATAGTATTATCATAAACATAATCATTGATGTACATTTGTGTTTATCTGTAGTTGCAAGACAAGGCTGCCTTGCTTACTGCAGAGCGTAAGAAGCGTGGTAAGAAGGTTCCAGAAGATCTTATGCCAGCTGAAGAGATCCGTAGTTTTCGTGTTCAATCTTCTCATCCAGTAAGTCAGTATCTCTACTGAAGGCTCCAAGCATGCCACCCTCAATGATTTATGTATTAGTCCACTGGTTTTTGAGAAATTTATGCTTCCAAAAAGAAGTGATAATTTAAAACAAGACAACGAACAATAGTTTAAGCATAGTAGAATGCCAATATATCTGAAACAAACTTTAGTAGAACATAAAGTAGAACATACATCAGTTAAATAATTGCTACATATTCAGGCAAAATTTTGTTTTAGTCTAATAAATGTGGAGAAGTTTCCGTAGTGGTTGTGTGTTTTGGTTTCGGGCGCCTAACCCGATCCCTTATGTTCATTAAAGAATATTACTCTGCCTTTTCCTTTATTCTTAATATTTATAAATATGGTAAAATTTTAATTTCTTTATTCATAGGGTCTTCATAGTGCAAGTAATCCTGGTATTTTGGCTTTGGACATCCAAGCTGCTAACACTAACAAGGTACTGACTGGTGGTGCTGACCGCAATGTGGTGGTCTTCAATAAGGAGACTGAGCAATTGGAGACCATACTTAAAGGACATACTAAGAAGGTTACTCATGTCATCTACCATCCCAACAAGGTAAATTGTTATGTTATTGTATTCTAATATCGTTATTAGTATTGATGTTGTCATTATGATTTTTGGTTTTATATACTGTAACAATAACAACAATAAGTATCATCATAATATTGTTACTGTAGAACTTTGTGAAACTATTAAAATATTTGAGGCTTGCTATTCTAAATTCAGCATTGTGTCGCTAATTCTTAAACTTGTGGCAGTATTGAATACCTGGTACAGAGAAGCCATAATACTTTTAAGCCTGGTTTCCTTAAAATGGCTGCAGTGTTTTCAGTGCAATCGTTGTACAGCGTAGCGGTACCCGACGCAATCGGATAGCTCCCCGATTCGACCAACCAATCAGCATCACTGAAGCTGTCTGCAATAGCATGTAGCAATTGTATGGAAACCAAGCTTTACTTAAAACTTTGGCAATAGTAAGATTCCAGTAAACGACATATCATTTTAGAGCTTATAATGTGGAGAAGAATAAGAATATAATAAAAAAATTCAATTTTTATTTTTTTTGGTCTTGGGATAGTGAGACTCATTTATTAATATTGTTGTTTTTGTTGTTGTTGAGGTTGTTGTTATTATATATAACATCATATAAATATACATATAATTAAAAAAAAAGTTATGGCCATAGAATAATAAAGATATCAATGATAAAATGAATGCAGATGGAATTAAGTAAATGCTGGTGAAAATTATGAAGTCAGAAGTTTTTTGATGTACCTTGTGTGATATCATTGTATGCTATGTATGTTTTATTTTTGTGTAACAAGAAGTAAACAAGTTTACTCCAGCATTCCACCTATGAAATTACCCTAAGCATCCATTTATTTGTTGAGCAGTTTATGAATTAGCACTTGTATTATTTTAGGATGTTGTGTTCTCATCTTCTCCCGATTCTACGATCCGTGTTTGGGCAGTTGCCAGTGGCACATGTGCCCAGACGATTCGGGCTCACGAAGGTGCAGTAACAGGGCTTAGTCTCCATGCTACTGGTGACTACATGCTGAGTTGCTCTGAGGATCGTCACTGGGCTTTCTCTGATATCAACGTTGGACGTGTCCTTACCAAAGTGTCTGATGACTCTATTGGTCATGGTAAGAATAATAATTTTTGTCTGTTTTATATAGAACAAAAGGTCAATGTGTTTATGGATTTATATTATTACCCTGGTCATTGTAGGAACTGCCAATGGAAGACTTGCTTAGCCCACTGGAGGAGTATACTATAATTTTGCTGCTATTAATGTTATTTGCGTTCAAATCTGACTTTCTCTGGGTGGGGTAGAGTGTGGGTAAAGTACCATGGCAAAGGACACAATGAAATAGACAGCTTTAAATAGCCAACCGTTTAAGGCAGGGGTGTCACAACCTATAACCACATTATCAACGCTAGTTGTGGTGGTGGAGCAAGTCTTCAATATAAGAACTACAATCTATAGGTCCAGTGTACACAATATGCACTATAATGATCGCAGTATAGCCTTTGAGTAGGTGGTTACCCCGGTGTACTGGTCCATCTCACAGCTCCTGTCATTTTGGGCCAAAGTCTTCAAATAATGAAGTTGACCTTCAATCAAAGAAGAAGAAACAAAATTAAAGCTCCTTAAGCTAACCTAACAGCTTCATTGAGTAATAATTATATATTACATCTTATTTATCTAATTATGTATTTGAGTTTATATGCTTCTGTCTATACTATGTATGTTGGTTTTTTTGTTGGGATTCCACAATATTTATTTGTCTTCCTTTATCTTGCAGCTTTGACTTGTGCTCAGTTCCATCCTGATGGTCTGATCTTCGGAACTGGTACTGGTGACAGTGTCATCAAGATCTGGGATCTCAAGGAACGGACAAATGTGGCCAACTTTCCAGGACATTCTGGACCCATCACTGCCATTTCCTTCTCTGAGAATGGTTACTATCTGGCTACTGCTGCTGATGACTCCGTTGTCAAACTCTGGGATTTGCGAAAGTTGAAAAACTTCAAAAACATTACTTTAGATAGTCATTATGAGGTGAACAAATTAAATACACTATTGTCATCAATGAAAGTTTATAAAATACAATATAAAAATCCTCATGAAAAATATGATCGTATCAAAATGGAGTTATAAAACTACAATACAACTTCAACTAAATTACACTTGAAATGCAAAATACAGTCAGGAAAAATGTAAATATATAAACCAAAGCACATGCATATACAACTGAATAACCAATTTTTATGGAAATGTTTTCATTTATATTCTTAGGTGAAGTCATTGTCATTTGATCAGAGTGGTACCTACCTAGCAGTGGCTGGTTCTGATGTTCGTGTTTACTTGTGTAAGCAGTGGCAAGAACTTGCTGTGCTCACTGGTGAGAACCTCAACTCAATCTATTACATCATATAAGCAGCAGCAGAAACAAAACAACAATAATATTGTTGTTGATCTTACTCCTGCTCCTGTACTATTACAGTATTATTATTTTTTTATTTTTATTTATAATATTGTTATTACTGTATTATCATCATTATTATGTTTTTATACCACAACAGTAATAGTATTGTTGTTGCTCCTACTGCTGCTCCTATTCTACTATTATTGAAATAGTTTTAAGTACAACTTTTAATAAATGACTTGGACTTGAACACAACTTCTTTTTCAATGTCTGACCACAGAGTACCTACTCCCGCCTCATTGGCATACGAGTAGCACTAGATATGACAGCTGTGTAATAATATCATATAATTATAGAGATTTTTTAAGTTAAATAAATTTGGTATAAATATTGATTTTCCAGACCACAACGGTTTAGCTACTGGTGTTCGATTTGGTCAGCATGCAGGTTTCCTTGCTTCAACTGGAATGGACAGGAGTCTCAAGTTCTATGGCTTGTAAAATACAGTTGAAATTAGTTCATTCTTGTCTCAAGAGCCTTACTTCTGCTCTGCTTATCTTAAAAATCCTAATAAGCTGAATAAATTATCTTGTGTCTTCTACTATACTGTACAAAGCATTAAGTTCTAAGGGTACATGTTTGGTGAGTGATGTTTCATTTTGGAAAACCATCAGAAGTCTGTTGCAAATTTTAGCCATTAACACACTAGTATAATACTGTAGCAAGTCAGTGATTTAATATATTGAAACATCTCATTATTAATGAGTTAATCTTCTAAATTCATGTGTAAAACATTGATGTTTCTAGATGAAAACATCTTGTTCTTAATCTAGGAATTATATGGATAGACATTGTGAAGACTTTGTCACACTCCTAAGAGTTGACATGAAATACAAATTCATTGCTTATGAACAGATTTACCACAAATATGTTATGGTTAAATCATCAGGATTAGAATAATTAATCTCATGATAAGATGATTGGTTCAAGCCCTGTGGTGTACCAAGCTTAGATTTCAGTATCTACATGTTTTAAAGATACATTCATAATTCATATTTACTTTGCATGAATGATGTTATCATCTAAAGATGGAAAATTGGTGACTTTGGGACTTGATTCAAAAATGTAATTCAGCCATGTACTTATAGTCTTTTTGTTTCTAGGTAGCTAAATATTTTTAGTGTATTAGTTGCTATGTAGTATTAATAAATCTAATTTGTGTTACATATACAATGTGTGGGAATTTGTAAGTTAATTTGAACTATTAATTTAGAGTTTGTAAATTATACAGATGAACTCTGAATCCTGTGTTACAAGTTTCCTTTAGTACAAGACTAACTAGTAAGATGTGAGCATTGATAATGTTTCCATGGTCAGTGAATGTGTGTAGATCTAAAATATAAGCCAACGAATTACAAGGATATGTCGTAGGTCATGACACAGCCAGTGTTGATTTATGAAGAATGATCAGTATAATAAATAATGCATTCCCTTCTATTTCAAAGTGTTGAACGTCGAAACATGAATAATTAAACACAAGTTCAACCAAAACATTTAAAGATTGCAAATCAATTGAACAAATATTTTTAAAGATTGCAAATCATTGGAATTGCATGGAAGTATCTGCTTGTATTTTATTCATAGTCTGTTTGCTATGACTGTATATCTACAAAAGTGATCAAATTTAACAATCTCATTAAAGTACATTCACCACATTTTTTTAATTTGTATTGAACATTTACTGATATAACACTACAATATCTAGGTTACCAATCGTGACAGTCACCGTGTTAATGGTACAATCTTGGGCATAAGTGTCAAGAATGTTTAGTTTAATTATGAAACTTGTTAATAAATTGTTTGTCATGATTTCATAAAATGTATTGATTTTGAAAAAAAAAATCAGAAAACTGGTACATTAATAATAAATTAATTAATACATTTGTTTTAAGTTGTTGAGGACATTTCCAAACTGTTCAAAATTTCTACAAAAATTGTGATCATAATTATCAAAAATGAATGAACATAAATTATTGAAAAATCAATTACGGTACAAGTGTAGACCGAAAAAAAAAAGCATCAAAATTTAATAGCAACAGCGCCTTGTTATCATAGAGCTGTACATCTGTAGATATCAAAGATTATATAATATATCTTTGGTAAAATAAATAGGTAAAGTATTATTGTTTTTTTAATGATATGTATTAATGCGTTTGTAGTTAAACAGCCTATTAAATCATCAATTGGTGCGGTGACAACAGAATGATTTGATTGAAGAAGTAAGTGTTTATATAATTTTTAGAATCAAAATTGGTTTGTCCTTTTAGAAACTATGTGACTTCATCCTGAAGGAATCAGTAGATAGCCTTAATTTTAAACATCTGAATATTTTGTATTAAGATGTAATATTTACAGCGGAGTGAGAGGCTGTTAAATGTTTTGAATAAATTTCTTCTTTTGCACTAAATTTTGTTTTCGCATATGTAATGTTTGTCGATACATTTGTATCTTAGTAAGCAGGTAAAAAGTATTAATTTCTGGACAACTGAATGCAATTCTAATGAATTTAAACATATAAAACAAATACATTTGAATTGCTAATTATAAATATGAAAGGGATAAAAATAATACCTCCATGGTATAACTAGACTTGCAACAAGTCCCTTATTTTTTTAATTCTTATTTTGGACAGCGCCACTAACAAGCAATTTTAAAATCTAAAATCCGAAAAAAATAGAATTCGAGTATGGGACGCCAAATAAATTAGGTATGGCGTGCAATAATGAGTGAGTATCCCAAAATTAGGGCCTGGAACCCAGCCTATGGTATAACCAGCAGCATTTCCCCAGGGGCAAGTGAGATAAAATAATGATAGAGCAACAAATAGAGTATTTCTACCAGATATCCTTGTTTCAAAGTATGTCACACCATCAAATTTACTAATGTGGCATGCCTACCCCATGCCTTAGAATATTCATAGCTTAACATAATCCAGTGCCTCAGTCCCTATATTTCATGGCACTGAATGACGATGGTTAAATGGATTTGTACAATAAGACAGACTCAAAGTATGCTCAATGTAACTACATCTTGTCTCCAACCACAGAAAAATATTTGTATCTTATTGAGAACTATTTATGACTTTCAGATAGTGTATTCCAAAAACACATGGACGCTTTTTTTCGTAAATGGTGAACTTCATAATCCGCTTTGTCACGAAGTCGTTTGGATTCAATACCAATAGTTATGCAGTACTTTTCGAGTGTCTGACATCACATGGATGCATGGACAACTGAGAAGGTGTCATAATATTCTAAAACTTCATCTCATTGTAGCACGGGACTCCTAAAAAACATCAAATTACTTTCAACATTAAAAACGCTTCTCTCGCCAAGAGAGCGACATTCTTACAATATTTATGCTTTATGTTCAGTTAATAAAACCCTTTTGAATATTTTGCTTTGTAGAGATTATAACAAGAAGATATTGTATATCAGTGATTTTATCCTTGGATACAAGTAGATCATGTTTGGGGCACTGTTCCGATTTTCTCGATAAAAGGAAGTCTGCAACCTGCGAAATGGAATTGACTGGATCATACTCATCCTAAATTTTGAACAATTCGATGCTTGATGAGAGGTGTCGTTATATTATTGCTTGAGAGAACTATAATAAAAAGGATTTGAAAGTGCTATTAAGCCAAATATAAAATTTTGTAGTTTTTCGAATACAGCTGGGTCAAAATAATGATTTGTTCCTTCGAAATATATTTTACTCCATTTCCTCAAATAATTAATAGTAAATTAAAACATTTGTACAAAGATTAGTCGATAGCGCACACAAATAATAATCGTTTTTTTAAACGCGAAAGATTTTTTATTGTAAAAAATGTTGTAAAAACACATTCAACAAGCCTGGAATTGAGATCAATATCTATAAGAAGATTAGGTAGACCCTACGCCGAAATTTTAAGTTTTTTATTTTCTTTATTAATATTAATATTATTATTATTATTATTATTATTATTATTAAAAGATTATTGTAATGAATTTGTATAATGACACGTTGTCATTTTGCTTTATTTTCCAAACCTTTTGTCCTGCAATGATTTTAGTAGTTAAGTTATTTTTCGAGTCATTTTGGATGTGCAAAATTGATCCAAAATAAACATTAAAACTAAACTTGTGTTAGAACCTATATAACATTGAAAGTCACTTTAGTAGCCTGGATTATAGATCATTTTAAATTAACTACAATATTTGATATGCTTTAGTTAATTTTTTTTCCCAATATGCGATATCAGTAAAAATAATACAGTGTACTGTACTACTGCGTGTACTATGAAACCATGTGAGGCCTGAGAGGTATAAAAATTGAAGAAGAATGGTGCCCCCTATTTTTATTTATGTATCGATATAATTTTATTTTTCTTTATTGGATGTTGGATATAATGTTAATGGCAAGTTATATACCGTACTCGCGCCGTTTGAATAAGCGCCCCCCTCATAAGATTTCTTTTTAGCAAGTCAATAATCCAATCAATCCTGGGACTGTGTTTGGCATGATTTGAGCTGTACTGAGTGGAAACACATTCTTCTTCAGTCAATATCAAAATAAGGATATTTCTCTTGGACAGATGAGAGCTCCGATCCCTGGACAGACAGTATATTTCCAATTTTTGTCTTTTCACATATTTGTCTATGTCTAGTCCTACTCCTCTTTTTCTTTTTTCGAGCACATTCTCATCTGAGTAATTTTCAAGAAAAATACAATATCCTGCCATCCTGCTAATCTTAATCGGCCGATGGCCAAGCTAACCACTGCCTACCACTAATTGCATCTGCTATTTTGCTGTTATGTAAATATTTACGCATTCTTGTTATGAGCCATGTTCTCTGGACGATTATCTTTTCTAACCACCATTCGTAATGTCCTGCTTATATAATCTTTTTTTCATTCAAAAAGTGCCTCTTGAATTTTTAATTATGAAATAATTTCCCATAAGAACCCCTCGATTTTCATCTATTTCCACTCTGTTTTCATAAGCGCCCCGTTTCAAATAAGTGCAAAAAAATATTTTAAGCGCCCCGGCGCTTATTCGCGCGAGTACGGTATGTTGAAATAATTTTTTTAATCGAATTTTAGAACAGCGCCACCTATGATCTACAAGTACAGCAAGTCTTTCTTTGAAGTACAGTAACTTCATGGTTTATTCCATGTGTGTGGCGGGATAAAAGTTGTCTTATTATTATGTTTTTATATTACATTTTCTTTAAAGAAATGGAAATTCACACAACTTGTATGATTATAACATCTTCTAATGTTGTTTTAAGGAATACAGCAGGGAAAAAAATGAATGAGGTGCATATTATATTATTGGAACATCATCATAATAAAACTCTCTAGAGTCTAGGCATAGGCCTAGCCTAGACATCACTTTATTAATCCAAATCCTTGGAAATTACATCGCTCTTTCAATAAATTAAGCAGGAAAAGTAATTCAATGCAATAAATAATAACTATCTTACATATCTACTATTAAACAGGTAAATGCCCCTCGCTCGCAATGAATGAGTTAGAATAACGGTTCGTGTTAGGGGATATGACCGGTTGGCGATTTTTTTTCCGTACGAAACATTTGCATGAAACTTCACTCGGGACATCTCGGATTGACTCAAGTGAGTACGATACGAGGAACAAGATCAGACACTTCGCAATGTCGTGACGCTCGAGTTTTACTATTAGTATTACAGTACTGTATTGCTCTTTCTATGTTTACCTACGGTAGGCCTATGAAATCTCACGGACTTATGGGATGTACGTGTGTAGCTAACTGTGACCTTCTTGGATGTTGTTAAACGTTAGTATATTATCT